ACTTCTGCCGAACCTGCCAGCGAATAGCGTGATCATTATGGATAACGCCTCGTATCATTCAAGATGTGCTAACAAGGCACCTACAGCTAGCTGGAGGAAGGAAGCGATCCAAGAATGGCTGCGGGTACATGATGTCAATCCTGATCCGGACTTGCGGAAGGTCGAGCTTCTTGAGCTGGTTCGCCCTCTGAAACAGACACGCGAGTATGTGTTGGACAAGGTGGCACAGGAGGCCGGTCATGAAGTACTGAGGTTGCCCCCATATCATTGCGACCTCAATCCGATTGAAATGGTTTGGGCAAACATGAAGACGCACGTCCGCCAGTTCAACAACACTGGGCATCTGAATGACGTGGAAAGGCTGCTGCTGGATAGCCGAGACGCCGCGCCACCGGACTTGTGGCGAAACTGCTGCCGCCACGTGCGAGAACTGGAAGAGGTGTACTGGCGAGCAGATGGTATGATGGAGGACATCGAGCCAGTGATCGTGTCACTTCAGGATTCGAGCAGTGACGACAGTGACAGTGAAAGTGATTGAGGGCGCATGGGACCTACGATGGCTTCGGTGAACCAAACATACCCAATATACGAGTACGACTCCTGTGTTTCCTGTCTTTTGTAATTTGTATTACGAGTTACTGGTGGTAGATTTGTAGACACTAGCGGGTAATACGAGCAAAACATGTCATCACATTGAAATAGTATGTATATTTGTTAATTTCGATCAATGCTGCATTCATCGCTAAACACACGCTCATATAGCCAACTCGTGTTGGTAGCCTGCGCCGCTGAACACGCATGTCCTGCGGGTTGCCTACCTCCACAGGCATAATTCATCTCCGCCTCTCGTCACGCAGTCTAACCCGTCCACATGATACTTCGTGAGGATTACAACGTCACAGTCAATACTATCGAAAACGCGTTCACTCGAATGTCTGCGATAGCGAACCACAAACCAAGTGCTTCACGACAGTCGCCAGAACTTGTTACGAGCCACACGCCGAGCTCCTTCAAGAATTTCCTTGCATTGGGTCCGCACTCGCAGTCGCACGCACCTGCGGTTTCAAAAAACTTCGGCTGGAACCAAGCCCTATAGGTCTTGAACTAAAGTCACTGATGATGACTTGTGTCCATTTGCAGAATAGTTCATTTCCAAGTGATATTCGCTTTTATAGGTACCCTTTAATTCATCGGATCGATAGTTCGGTTAGCATACCAAACTTTATCCAACTTAATTTTTGTAGCAGGTAGGTATAAGTACCTACCTATTTATGTAATACACATTTGTGAGACTACAAATCTGCACTTGCCGCACCCAAGAGCGCCACTCTCCAGGCTTCAAGGCAATATTTTCTGTTTCCGAAGGGCTTGATTTTTTCTAAGCCATGCTTTGTCTCGTGCATATCTTGCGAAACATCTTGGAGTGAAGTCTAAAGATAAGAAAAACGGACTATAGCTGAGCAGTGGCTAAAGTTTGCGGCATCGTGTTCGGTGCATTTTTTCATTCTGGCCGGAGCATCTAAAATAAAATTACGGCGGCGACGTAAAATTTAGCCCTCCAAACACAGATTGTATTGCTGGTGTTTCGTTAAAACCAAGGCTCTACAGCAGCTTCCATTTTGAACCAAACTTGTAATGTGACCTGAGCTTTGAAAATGGCAGAGGGCTGGGCTCTGCACACATGGTGCATTAAATTCTAGGCAAGCACACTAAAGGCCACCACCAATCCTTTTAGTGAAGTTCGAAGACACTTCATATCTTCAACTCAACCTCCCGAGGACACTGTTAATCCATATGCGAAACGCTTCGATTTTTCGCCTCCCGGTTTTCTAGTGCCCAGCAACATGCAAACGACCTGTCTCTCACTGACCTTACCAGTATCCTGCAGTATGTTTTACATCTCATGAATTCTCTTGCCGCTAACAGCATTCCGATATGTCGCCGAGTGAGTCTTGCCTTCTAAAAATAGCGGACCAAACATCCTCAGCCACGACTTCACCGAGATCAGTTCAGGGGCAGCCCGCAGCAGGGGTTCGTAGTTCGTACGTCACGAGCTGTCTATGATCTTGCTAAAAATAGAACAGGAACTCCTTCACTATGCATGACCTCTGGTAGCGAACCCTTGTATATTTTATTCAAACCAGTCATGGGTCATTGAGAGGCTGTGAAATCACCCGATCAGACCCTGTCACTCGCGGATATGGCCTGGTGACATTTTGCGGTGTTTATTTATAAAGGAAGGCTGGACGGCCTTATCATCACAGTCGGCAACTTTGTAATCGGTGCCGGGTGCACTGAGAGCTAAGGATGTATGTAATTATATGAGATTGACTCCAGCAAGCTGACGCTAACTTTAGTTCATTTTTCGTAAGTTCGACCGTCACTGAACAGTTGAACACATCTCTCTAAAGACAGCACGATATTTGTTAGGTGAACGTATAGATTTTGTTTGAAGAAAAAAAACTGGCTGGCGTACACCACATTTTACATGTGATTAGCTTAATCAAAGTCATTAGTATTTTTCCCCCATTTCCCCCCATTCACATCTCGCATTTAATCATATTTACAACCTCACACCGATACTCGACTTGTTCAGAATTATTACAATGAACTCATCCATTAATCGCACGGCTTTTATAGCACCTCGGTACTTTATCGGTGCTCAAATCATTTGTTCCGTAGTGTTTAACTAAGTAGTAAGTAGTGTTCCGAGGTGTTCAACGCCGTGCGCTTGATACATGAATTCATAATATTTTACGCATCACCTAGCATTGAAAATATAGCAACACACGAAATGCAAGTGAAGGAAATAAGAGCCACTTGAAAAGAAAAACTTTTAGCAAGTCGATCCCCTGTGAAATGCAATGTGCGCTGACCAGTTTTTTCAAGAAACTCACAAAAAGCGATCTTCAATTCAAAAGTTCAAAGAGCCATTTACAGTGAGGGGCGAGCTTTAAAATAAAGATGGACTGTAAGTAATCACATTCGATTTTGTTTTTACCCGACTCTGGGTTCCATCGCACACTCCACCAATCAATGAAAAACCAAAGACCGGCCCACTAAAGACCTCAAGTAGAACGGGATAATTAGGACTAGCAGACTCCGGCACACCTGAGCTCTAAATCATATATCAATAGCTAACGGCATACGACAGTGGAAGGTAATTAAAAAAAGCTCCTACAGTTCATTACATCAAGCGATGATGCCTAACGACAACGTTAAAATCGTGCACCAAGTATACTTGTCCATTATACAAATCTCTCTTATTTCACCAGAGTATGTGAAAAACTCTCTGGTCTCTCCGTACTCGCAGATGTCGCCACCAGTCTGCCCTCGCATTACTATGGTCTGCTGGAGCAGCAATAATCTCTCTGTCGAACTAGATAGATGTCGCCCTGCGCTGGACCTCCCCAATGGTGCTTAGCTTGCCTAGGATGAGGGGCTAGCTTACTTCATGCCACGCTAACGGCTAAACTATCATGAACTTTCAAAAATTTCGTTACAAATTAGCTCAGTGACTTCTTGGCATGATGAATAAACCATAACATCACATAAGACATTGTCATTAACCCGCGCCCTGATGGGGGGGGCCATTTTGGCCCCCCCCTGTGGTTTTTCTTAAATAGCGAGAAAACGGCGGCGCGCAGCGCCGCCAAATTTTGGGTACCTTACCGGGCATCAATTTGACACCTTCACACAAAATTTCAAGTCACAGGTCACCTCAGGTCAGGAGTTATTGAGGTCAAACTGAGGTCATGTTCGAGCAAAAATGAGCAAAAAACATGACATCTTGAAACGCTCACCAATTCTACAGTTAACAAGCAATTTTAAAGTTCTCTATGTGGTTGTGTAGAGAAAAGACGGCGCTACAAAACTGCTATCTCGGATTTTCGAAATTTTGGGATTTTGACCCCCAAAAATCAAAAAAATTGATTTTTTTAGAAAAACTCAAAAAATTTCCAAAAAAAAAATTCGAATTTCGATAAAAACGGAATATATGTGATAGTCCCTGCGCTCTTCGATATACATACCAAATTTTAGATCGATACCTCTTTTTTTGGCCAAGTTATAGCGAAAAAACTGTTAAAAATTGATGACGTCAAATTTTTGAACTCAATTTTTAGCAATTCTAGACCTCGTAGCGCAAAACGGAGACCACCATTGAACTCCCCGTGACGAGCTGCATCGAATCGATACCCATTTTATGCAAAAATATCAACTTTGAAATTTGACCTAATTTGACCTGACCTTGACCTGACCTTGACCTGACCTTGACCAAAACGTGACCTAAGCTGGCCCTAAAGTCTGTCTGACCCACATAATCGCATTTGTCATGTAAAATGAACCATAAAACATGTATCACACGACACTTTCATATTGTGACCCCCCAGTGACCTGACCTCTGTGACCTGACCTGGTATCAGTGACCTCAAATAGCAAAATATGTGTTTGAAGAACATTTCTCCATCGATGATTTTCAATGAAATGCATTTTACTCGATTTTACAACGCATTTCTTGAAATGCCTGTAAACGGTGAAAATTCAACCTTTGACCTGACCTGTGACGTCATCGGTTTGACCGAGGTCAATGAAATTGGGTCAAAAGGTAGTTCCCCGCTGGGGCTATCCAACACCGTTTACCGCTTGTCGCTATGTTGCGTGGTTCTCGAGATCTGAGGGGGGGGGCCAAAATGGCCCCCCCTATCAGACCGCGTTGCTCGGCAGACCCCATCTGGGCGCGGGTTAATAACATTAATAACAAATGAGGGCTGTCCTGGTCTTCTCATTCAGTTCCGTGAAGACGGCAATAACGCCGAAAAGGAATAACGGATAAGGGAAGCATGAGGTAATAATATTGACACCTTGAAATGGAGAGACATGGATGATGCTATGCGAGCTTAGCTTTAAAGTTTCGGTGCAACCCACCATTTAAATGCGGTCAATACGTGTTTGAACGTTTCTTATGCAAATCTGATCAAATATAACAACACAGTCGCACACGAGATTTTATACTTATATTTTGCTTTTTCAAGAAGGACGCTGGATATGCTTAAAGATGTTTTAGCGTCGAAACCCAACACAACATACATTATGCTTGCAACATTTAGGGCCAAAAATATATTTTATTCGCCCATGGAGTAATATTCGCGGCGGAACAAATACATAAATATTGATTTATCATTTCCTTCAAATATTCTACCAATAAAATATCTAACATGTTACAGCAAACATCAATATATGGTACAACGCCATCTACTTTAAACCAAATCAATGGCGTGCGATCTTGTCAGATTTAGGAGAGAAACGTCAATGCATTGAAAAGAACCGCACTCATAAATATAGGAACATGTAATATTTATATTGAACTAATTTCTTTATGTCTACAACCGATAAGCTGTAACGAGTTACGTCAATGAGTGCCGTTCTTTTCTACGCATTGAAATGGAGTCTCTGTACCAAACTGTATAAGCAAATAACTACATGTCCGACTAGCATTTCGCTTATAGTAAAGCTTGTGCTTAGTGTTTCCACTGTCTCTAATCTGATGGTCCTCTCGCCCGCTTGTTTGTTTAACTTTACGTACAATACTGGAAACAGGACCTAGATATATGCCATACGAATCGGCACGCAGCTATATACTGCGTATCACATTCAAATTTATCATCTTTGCTAGTTCTCGTTCATCGGCATGTCTTCGTTCTTCCGGCGAGCCGAGAAGAAGTGGATAAATCACCTTGACTATGCGTGCGATCACAGGAACCGCTGGCAGCGGTATAATCTTCTGAGATCAGTAGACCCGAATAGAATAGCAGCAGTCACACGATAGGATTAAATTCTACCCTACCGATACCAGAAGATCACCAGAAGATCACCATCCCACTGCGCGGGCAATTCTACCGCTTTCAGAAGACCAACTTCTCCGCCTCGCTGGCTACCACACCGCCTCTCCTACCATTTTCTGTCGTCTCGGTCGGCGTCTACCGTTTTCAGTAGCTGCGCCCGGTGCCGTAGAGTGAGTTGATCCAGCTGCGACGCACAGCCTCCAGACGACCTGCCCTCAGGCCGTTTTCATCGACCTGCTCCGGCACACTGGGGCGCTCCAGTTCGAATCCGCCCTGAAAATGAATGAATAAGAGGTGAGCATTTAGGGGATTCACACGGGTTTTTAATGGTTCAGGCATAATTCACCAGTATAACGCCTTTTGGGGCGACTAACGGAGCGAGCGAGAGGGTGGGCCTTGCACGTGCGAAATTTCGAGGGGGTACCTCCAACTGACTTGTGCACGGCACCCTACTAACTGGTTTCTAGCGATGTGCCAAATTTGGGCACAATCGGCCCAGCCGTTCTCGAGATCTGGAAGCGGCACCCTGCACGTGCGCACGTGCAAAATGGGTCCCAACTGACTTGTGCACGGCACCCTACTAACCGGTCCCTAACCGTGTACCAAATTTGAGCGCAATCGGTCCAGCCGTTCCCGAGATCTGGAAACGACCCCTGCACGTGCGCACGTGCAGCAGCACCCCAACTCTGGCACATGTATATGCAGTGCCTAGTGGGTGCCTACCTACATGCCAACTTTCAGCACAATCGGCCAAGTAGTTACCGAGATATTGCAACAATTACAAAACTGACACCTCTTCGTTTTGCACGTGGCACGTGCATAAGGGGTCACCCACATGCATCGGGAATAGTCCAATACTTGGTAGAAGGAATGAAGCTACCCTACAAAAATTACCGCGTGTAAATCGGTCAAGTGGTTGCTGAGATATAAGCCTCGCAAAAGCGTGACCACGGCCGGCCGGCCGGCCGGCCGGCCGCTCATACTCAGAAATTTCCGTTAATCTAAGGAAAGACTACGCTCGCTTCGCTCGCTCCGTAATTAACGGTACAACATATACAATGCATATGTGAATATGCGCAGATGGGCCAGATTTTAAATATTTTTATTCATTATTACGGAAGAGTAAGGTATAAGGGATTCGAAGATATGACAGAAAAAAAGGTTAGGTAAGCTGCTCAATCTTGTGTAGGATTATAATTTGTAACTATTGTTCGTTCAGTTCCATTGGACGAACCAGATCCAGTTCAACAAGATCATAGACGGTGATTCTCGTTTTCAATCACCCCATGATGGATATCATCCCAGGGTTGAGTATCACCTAGGTCACAATTAACCCCCTCGTTACCCTGCTCCAGTCCACAGCGCGGCAGCCGGCCCGTGACGACCCGTTTGTACAATAATGTGATTGGGCGCGTGTTTGCGAGATTTGCCGTCATGTCTTTCTTTCTCATATGGGGACCCTGATCCTGGAATAACACGTGTGTGGATAGGGCCTGTGCCGCAAATAAATAAACAAGCAAAACGTAACAGCCGTAACGGTAGCGGTAACTCGGGTGACCCCTGAATATATCCCCGAATGAAACCCTTCTAGCTCGCCGTTCACCAGCGGAACTAATTCTAGCCCTCCCCGCATCCCCTCCCCTCTCCCGACGAACGGGACGGGACCTCCCCGGTGGATCTCCAAAACTCCGTCACGGTGTTTGGACACGGCATGTCAACGCACATCGTCTGTCCGGACCAGTCCATTGCCGGACAGAGGGGAGGTCACTACCGAGATGGACTCGTCCAAGAAGGAATTTCGTGATTTCCGTCGTTCTTTTAAGGTTTGATACAACAAAGACGATTATGTGGAAGCATCCTTTCACTATTATGATATGAAGTGTCATGCTGAACAGCAAAACATATGAAAATACCGCAGAGCCTATTTTAAGGGAATTTGACTGGGAGGGGAACCTGGAAAATTGTCTTTAATAATCCATTAACCCTCGCCCGTATTGGTGTTTCCAGTAGCGAGCGTATAGGGGGGGGGGGGGTCCGTTGGACCCTCCCCCTTGCCGTTTCGCCCCTGATCGAGCTAGAGCTTCGCGGAAAAAACGACCGTGTTGCCCGTGATGAAAGGAAGCCGATTATACCCAATTTTAAGGTCCTAGGTCATCGGTTGACCTTCCAGGTCCGGTCATTAACCCAAAAGTCGGGAAAATCGGGACCTGTTAAAGCGTCGTAAAGAGTGGCTGCAATGGTTTTTCAGGGTGCTGATCACGAATATCATGTTAATTATGATCATAGATGATGTCTTCATGCATTTAGGCCAGGTCAGGTCAGGTCAGGTCAACCAGTAAGGGTTTTGCCGGGTATTCGTAGTAGGTGGCAACCGCCTCTGACAGCTTCGTAACATGTTACGAAGGCACCAAAACTACTTCGTAAATGGTCAAATGGTTGCTTAATTCGAATTCAGCTCCAAAAACTAGCCTGGAAACATATAAAACTCGAAAATGTGATCAAAGGTAAATGATCTGACCTGACCTTCCGGTGATCTTGACACCCACCCTAATGCATGGGAGCAACATCATATCCCATGTTTGAACGTTTGAAACCACGAAAAGACTGCAAACGCGCGGCTAATGCGAGGCGACATACGCCGAATCGCGACCTCGGCCAAACATAGTGCCATGGTGCTAGGCCGCCGGTGCATCTGAAAGAACTGTGGTGCCCCTGACAAGCCTGAAGTTCCAACGACAGGCCCGTGGTGCCCCTGACAGGCCCATGATGCCTTTGCGAGGCCGGTGGTGTCCACGTGAGGCCGGTGGTGCCCCTGGGCCCTGACAGGACTGTGGTGCTCCTGACAAGCCTGGAGTGTCCCCGACAGGTCCGTGGCGCCCTTGCTAGACCTATGGTGCCTCTGGCAGGCCTATGGTGCCCCTGGCGGGCCTGTGGTGGTACCCCTGACAGGCCCAAGGTGGTGCCCCTGCGAGGCCGGTGGGGCCCCTGGCAGGTCTGCGGTGCCCCTGGCAGACCTATGGTGCTCTTGCTAGGTTGATGGTGCTCCCAACAGGCCTGTGGTGCCCCTGACAGGCCGGTGGTGCCCCTGGCAGGCCTGTGGTGTCCCCGGGCCCCAAGAGGGTGGGGGGTCATGACCCATATGACCCACCCTTAGATACACCACTGGTCATTACTTACAGACTGACTCATTTGACATCCATTGCAAAACAAGTCACAGTAGTTACGTAGTATGCTTGTCACCCTGTTCCTTTATGCCCATTTTTATAGTGGGCAAATCTCGACGACTAGGGGGGCAATTCTGTTGAGTGCGGGGGCATTTGCCCCCCCCCCCCCAGTTAACATGTTAAAATAGGCCCTGAAATACCGGGCATTTCTAAAATTCCCACGCGCGTTTCCTCCCCTCTGTGTGCGTTTGGACTGGTCCGGCGGCGCGTGTGGTCGCCCCTGTGACAGGCGGCGGTGGGTTCCACACCGGACCACCCACGTAGTACCGCGGCGGGCGGCGGCGGCCACCCTGGAGACCGCCCGCCCCACCCCGCCGCCGCCGCCGCCCAGGCGTGGTGTAATCAATTAACCACATCACTGAGAGCGGTATACTGACGGTGGGCGAAACAGCGGCGGCAGAGGAGGCGGGCGGGTGATCTTTGGGTGGTCGGCTGACACGCCCTGTGCGGGACCTGCGTGCGGTCCCCTGCGGTGGTCCCCCGCGGACCCGGTGGTCCAATGTTGGTTTCTTGGTGGTCCAATAGTGGTCCCGTGGTGGTCCGGTGGCAGGGCGTGGGAGGTCTGTGTGGTCTACCTGGGCGGGCCGCCAGTGACCCCCGGTGGTCGCCCCTCTGAGGTGTCCCCCGTGTGTGTGTGACATACACCTTCGTGGTGGGCCGGGAAGTAACCCACGTTGGCAGGGGGAAGGGTAATTAAGGTGACCGTAAACTGGCAGCCAATGTAAACATAGGGGAAAGTTAACGGTCCTGTTATTAATCGGTTATAAGGCTTCGATCTCTGATATAATATCTTAATGAGAGGATGTTTTGATACAAAGTAACTTCTTTCGATCCTGATGAGCTATGGATAAAATCATTTCCAGACGCCGGTCGGCAATGTTTTGCTATATCAGCTGCTACAGAGGATAAAATCGCTGCATCGGCACAACCATAAAAGGAATCAAAACATAAATAACAATGTGTGCTGCATGAAAACACGTAGTATACATAGGCTTTTGGTTAGCCCTTTGATAAATATTTTTCGATTTTATTCGGGCTTGACTATACAGCACACACTCCTTTGCAAGACAAAAGGTTACGGCTTTACCTGAGCGGTTCGAAGCTGCTGGTAACGCATTGATAGCAAGAAAAAATGTGAATTTAGACTGAAGGCACAAAAAACCATAACGGCAACACAAAGCCAAATTGATTGTCTGTAGTACCTTGTTAAATATTCGTGATGAAACGCCAAGTCACAGAGATTTTAAAAGGTCGAGGGGTCAGGGAGGGCATTACAATCGATTTCGACTGACCATTATATTTTATCGAATAAAATAGTATCAAGTTCACTGGTCAAATGGACAAAACAGCCGACTGAAGAAAAAAAATCAAAACAGCGGATGAAACAAAGCAACTCAACCATCCAATGAGGGAGATCGTCCGATAAAAAGGCGATCTCGAAAGATGTTACCTACCGACAGCCCACTGACCTCAAAGTTCGCCTGGCTGCCGTCGACGCCGGCGGTGGCGCTAGTGTCGTCCTCCAGTTTGAAGTGCGCCACGGCCGCCTCGGACTGCGGCGCGTTCACCACGTTGACCCGCTGTTTCTGGGAGAGGTAGCCGGGTGCCGAGACCGTGACCTCATACTCTCCGGGCGTCAGCAGCCGGTAGTAGTCGCCGTCACGGACTGAATGTCACAGAAAGGTCACAGAAGGGTCATCGAAAGTTATGTGAGGTGACCTAAGGTCACACGAGGTGACCAGGGATGTCTTCTGAGTCCACAGAAGGTTACACATGCACAAAGTCAGCACATGCTAGAGAATGTCATGAGCAAATAACGGCATCTCACAGGAGGATATCATGAGGGTTTGCAGAGGCCACGACAAGTCAACAGGTCAGGTAAAGGGTAACTGAAAAAAACGCATCGGGTTATACAGTGGTCCTAATCTAACATTATACTAGCCTAAAAATTATCATGTAGCTCCCTGCAGCTTCATATGATTAGGTTACTGCTGCAGAGCGTAGCAACATGAGACACAATAAGTCAGACAAGATAATATTGCCTCAAAATGCTAATAAGCAATAGTTCATTGTCATGGTACTTACATGTGGTGACGTCATGGTTGATGTCGTGGTTTCGGCTCATGGTATCGTTGATTTGAGTGATGTTCTTGACGTGCACAATGGCGCCGCCAATGGGTCGGTTTTTGGAGTCTGTCACCAGACCCTTTACTCCGGTGTGAACCTGTGGAGGCAGAAGGAGGGCCGATTGAAATTCACGAGCGCAACGGCGAACTAATTATAGGATTGAGTTAGGCAGCGGCCGCCGCAGTGCATACCTCTCAATGTTTAATCAGGAGCATTGGATACACGACCCCACACGCGATGAGAAATTTAAACAGGCGGTTATTGCCAAAAATAGCCAAACGTATACTGAATTCCCATGACGTTTTCCGAATCGGGAACAGAATTGGACTCATATCGAGCACTGGCAGATGCTGAACGAATAGTAATGAAGGCTAGTCGGAATTAACATTCCGCGGGGCAAGCTTCGTCGCTAAAATTATGGCTAGCAGTTCGTAATAAAAAGCGACCGCCAAACACATGAACATTCATTTCTATGGACGTAAATTATTGAAGACTCAATGTCGAGTTATGCTTAGTACAACAAAACAATCATTAAATGAACAATCAGTGAAGAAGCGTTTTGAGTGATTCATCGACAAAAAAAAAAATCCAACGAAAAACTCGTCACTCGATATTATGAAGATGATGGCGATCATCAGTCGCTGATGGCGATCACGATCACGATGACAGACCTGCCAGATGAAGTTGATGAGGGCGGGCAGGTTATCCTTCCACTCCTGTTCGAGCACACTCTTCGGGGGGTATTTGTCGCAGCCCAGCTCCAGCGTGATCTCAAAGTCGTTCGACGCCAGGTAGTTGAAGTCCTGCATGCCTGGGGACGACAAGCCAGTTGGATGCTGTTTATTTCAGATTGTGTGGCGAGGTTATGAGTTTTGATATTACGTTTCGTTTATGCAAAAGGGCTGATGGAAGCAGCGACGCCCTGTGATGTGAGCTCATTTCATTGACGAACTAATTTTGGTACAAACAGTGTGAGAATGACCATAAGTTTGATAGATATTCAAACGAGGGCTGACTAGGGCAATATGGTGCTTATTGCAGTTATTTCGGTCACGTGTAACAGAGTTTACAGTTGAAACGGTATTAACTATGAATGCTGGAAATCATCCAGCACTGCATACTAACCCCATTCTTCCTCCCTCCCTCTCCCCTCCCTTCTCCTTCCCTCTCTCCTTATCTCTTCCTCTCCCCAGCACCCACCTCCTGCCACGGTGTACCAGGCGGCTCCGTTGGTGATGCCCCCAGTGCTGGAGAAGTTGTGGGAGCCGACGCAGGCTCGCGTCTTGGGATCTCCCATACGCGCGTGCGACTGGGCGTACGCCAGTGCCAGATGCCTGGGAAGGGAAAGGCAGAGTCAACATGGCGGCGCATGGAATATGACAAGCCAGACACTCGCTTTTCTTGAATTCCGAACCAGGAATGACACTAAAGGATGAAACAGCCATGATACCATGCGTAAAGTTCACAGGCATATCTTGAAAGGTCATGCATTAACGTTTGAAGGGTTTCGACACGTAATGCTTCTCGCCTGAGGATGCTTCATTTAGATTGTCATTATAAATCATGTCGAAAATTTACATTTCGCATAAATGAATGTGCAGAATCCAAACGTCCATGAGTGTCAGCAAATCCGGGATTCGCCTTCCTGCTTTCGAGAAATAAAATAAGAAAAAAAAACGAGAAGGACGCCGCGTATAAATATAACTGTAAGTACACAAAATATAAAAGAGAATAAAATAAAAGCACTGTTTGAATATACAATCAAATAAAGAAAACCAATAACCAGTACCTCTTACATCATTTACACATACTGCGCGTTACGTAGGTAGGTCGGCCAAAGCTAGCGGAATGTATGGGCGTGATATATCAGACACAGATCCATGGAGCCTTTGATTAAATCTCCGCAATGACACGCTCCATTTGTGAGACAGTTACTCTCCATCAGTGTCTCTCCTGACAGAAAATCCCGCAGAGATTTAGTCCGTCAAGACTGCGGGCAGATCACTCGCATTGTAATGGATTCAAACCATAATTGATAGAACATCCTCTATTGATTGATTCGTTAAGGTGTCCAGAACAGATATTTCGCAAGGGAAGTGTATTGAATAGACCGTTTCGGTTTCGTTGAATGACAGTTTATTTTGTTGTGCAACGCACTTTACGACCTTCCGTGGGTGAAAATACTTGAACGAAATCGTTAAAATGAAGCAATTAGATAAATAAAGCGGCTTGTCTGAAGTTTGGTGGTCTGTTAACCCGCGCGGGGCTGGGGTCTCCAGCCGAACGCGCGGGGCTGGGGGGGGGGGGTAAATTTTACCCCCCCCCCCCTGTTATCTCCCGAACTAATGGTCCGATTTGGAAAATTCAAACGCCAATCGAAAGGTCTCATCACGAACTACTAAAAACATGTACTTAATTTAAAGTTTGAGGTCAAGGTCAAGGTCAGGTCAAGGGTACAAATTGCAAGTTTCTATAGTATCGGCCTTGCACCGTAGTTGCCGAAGAATGGAGTCATGGACTGAGACTGATCGCCCAAAACGTGTTCTTAGGCTACCAAGACAATATTAGTTGCATACAATATCATTCAGAGGTCAAGGTCAAGGTCAGGTCAGGTCAGGTCAGGTCACCAAAAAACAAAATATAGAAAAGGGCATGTGCGACACATGTTTTATGGGTCATTTTACTCATAGAATTCAATAGGCACACTCAATAAGTGATATGGACCACCTCTGGATGAATTTCAGGTCGAGGTCAGGTCAAGGTCAGGTCAAGTGAGGTCAAATTTTGAAGTTGGTTGTTAAGGCCTAAAAAGGTGTCTATCTGATGCAGTTTTTCACGGCGAATCGAATGGTGCTATTTTTGTTTCCGTACGAGGTCTAGAACTTCCAAAAAAGTCATTTTTCAAAAATTTTGTGTGTCGTGACGTCATAAAATTTTGAATAACTCCCACATTTTTGAACCGATTCTTCTAAAATTTGGTATGTAGGTGCACATAGACCACTTCTCTGACATATATTCCGGTTTTTACGATAGACTGAAAATTTTGGATTTTATAATGATTTTCTCCAAAAAATCAGTTTTTTGAAAAAATTTAGGCCAAAATCCAAAATTTTCAAAAAACCGAGATAGCCATTTGATAGACAAAGTAAAATTACGTATATCCTTTTTTGTTAGGTCTTGATTCCTTTAAAAATGAAGATGTTAGCGGCGTTTGAACTTTTGCCGTTTTTGAGGCGAAAATGGCGAACATGACGTCACTAAAACGTCAATTTCTCAAAAATTTTCTGACGGATTTCGCTCAAATTTTCAGGGAAGGTGTCAAATTGATGTAAAAAAAGGTACTGAAAGTTTGGCGGCGCTGCGCGACGCCGTTTTTGAGATATCGTAAAAATTCGCGAGGGGGGGTAAAATTTACCCCCCCCCCCAGCCCCGCGCGGGTTAAATAAGACACGAATCAAATTCTCCCCAGAATGGGTAGTAAGTGCCAACAACTGACATTTTCAGTCGTAACGTTAGGATCATTAAAGGGACCCTCCCACCTTAACATTAGTTTTGAGTTGAGATAGCCAAGTTTGCGGCCAGGCTCAGAAACCACCATTTATCCTGGTCGCAACCCCCGCAGCTTTATGGTGTTCAAGAAATTTCTTCCCTTTACTTGCAGGGTGGGACCAGCGTGGTCCCTATCTCTTAACCATTACGGGAGTCTGATGACGTCATCAGGCTTTCGAACGTCCGTTAAATGTTTGACTAAAACGTTTTGTAGCACGCGGTGGTATATGCTGCTTTGCGCGCAACAAATGCCGCACTTTCAAATAAAGTCGCTAGGAACAGCGAAGATCCCAAAAAGTAAACAAAAGTAAACGTCTAATATCTTGAAAACCGGTGAATATTTTTCGATGAAATTTGGTAGATATTCGTTTTTCCTCTTTCTGAACCGAGCGACATCACTTTCATGCCAATTCATTAACTTTTTTGAAGGTGGGAGGGTCCCTTTAATGTCAAAATCTGAAATTCAATGTCGCACAAATGTTACATGGTAGCAAACTGCAACTAAACCCCACATTAGAGCTCTGCTCCCACACGCAGTCGTTACATTAGGCTTGACCTTTCACGCAGACACCGAACTTCCCCGAAAGCCGAAGTGAACAAGGCGCTCGTTAAGCTAACATTACAGAGCACATAAACTTGTTGGCTGGTAAATTCGTCAGCATGCTGCGTATACGTTAAAGACGTTATGACGTTATTAATTTCATATAAGTTATAACATTTTATACTAACAGCTTTCACTATATTTCAATAGCACCCCCAGGATGCCACGAATACTATTATGTGAAATGAAAGCAATGTCTATGGGTTCCTATTTCGAATTAACTGTAACCGCAGGTTGTTTCTTCATTAGACAAACACTATTCGTTAGAATTGTATTTTTCTATTGAAAAACAGCCGGAGCAGTCCTTCACCGGGCTATGTTTTAGCGGTGGTGTCCCACTCACCTGAAGGTGTTATCGTCGGGCGATTTGGAGTAGTCGGTGGGCGATCCTGTCCTGGACTCGTCGTACGGATAGTTAGCCACCAAATCCCCGCCGTGCATGTTGGCGGATAGGACGAACGGCTGGTCCACGATGTACCGCATCAGGGCCATCGTCTCCGGCTGGGGCTGCGCACAAAAAGAAGAATGAAAAGGGGTGAGTGGGTAGAGCAAGATGGCGGACGTCACGTCACGATACAGAGGGTGATGATGTTCACGAAGGTTTTATTTTCAATGCTGTGTCAGTCAATGAAAAAATGCGCCAGCTACCACATGTTGATCGAAATGTATGATGTTTGGCACCAAGAAGTACCAAGAAGACCTTGAAAGAGTAATTTGGCAAAAAAGCGGTGAAATCGAAGTTTACATAGTCGGGAAAATCACCGACTCACATCAGTCATACTTTGCAAAAGGCCCACATTCCGCGAGAAAACGATGTAGCGAATGCAGCCTTCTCAAAGTTCACCTTATGACCAACTATCAACGGCTTCAATCAGGAAGTTTTACCAAGTGCAGATGGGATTCATAATTAACCAGCCTCAAAATATCCCTTTGAAACTTTCATTTCCGCCGAAAGGCAATCATCTCAGGCGTCATATTCCCGGTCATTTTCAATGAGTAGCGGCGCCGTCTCAGCTCTCAAGCCTTGACAGTATTTTGACGGGTAAATCATGATCATGCCTCAAACTCGGCAGCACGATGGCAAACTTGACCGGGCTCTCCCAATTTAGCAGCTATGTAAACTTCGGGGCGATTTCCGAGTTCGAGCGACGCAGATATCTCTTCGCCGAAGTAATCTTCCAGGATGGGACCAGTTTTGGACATATTTGCATGGACATGAATTGATTTGATTACATGTCGATATTGGTCACGTTGAGTGCATGCATCTATGCAATTATTCATGGGAACTCTTATACTGACAGGAGCTCAATTTCGGCGGCCATCAATGAAACGAACGCTAAAATAGATAAATAAATAAATAAATAAATAAATAAATAAATAAATAAATAAATAAATAAATAAACAAACAAATAAATAAATAAATAAATGTGGAAAATGCCTGCAAAACAACTCTCGTCACTAGTCATCAATCATGTAATGCATGCGGTTATCAGTTTAGGGTAAAATCAACATAAAACGGCTCAGCAACGCATCCAAAATACATAAAGCACATCACTCAATGATAAGCGCATCCAAAATCGCGAGCACTTGCATCGCACCGCTGAGCGCAAACGTCAACCACGGCCACGAAGAGAAATCTAATTCCATTTCAGATCAAATAACGCCCCAGATCCTTCTCACGCTATCAGCAAATTCAATCTCTCCGTGAAATCATCAGTTCACCGACCGATTTAACGGATGACTGCACTATTTCATCGTGAGATTTGCTTCACTTCCAGCGATAAGACGCGGACGAAAGTTTGATGGGTTCAGGTGAAGGGCAGAGGTGAATTCAATAAGCAGTAGCGACTCAGCTACTTCAGAATTTGATGGGTTGCTGATCCCTTACGTCCATAAATCGGAGTGGAAACCGATTAAGTCCGAAAAGCGTCAGTGAGAGACATAAAATATTTACTGCCCCAACGTTAAATAGTCGCATTGTTTCTGTGTGTCGGAACTTAAAAACAGACAAATCATCGAAAGCCAATAATGGTTTTCCAACGGACAAAATCACGTTAACTTGTCTTTTACCAGGGTGTCGCTGTTTTGAGAATCCGCACCCTTAGTCCCATTATGGGCTGAAAGCTACATCTCTTAGGACCAGCTGAGCTCCATTTGCAGTATCCACTGTTCGTGTTCTTGCTCATTGTTGCATAACATTCTCAAAGCAACAGCGACGCATTATGGGCTTCGTTGACGCCAGAAGCCCCACAAGCGGAAAGTCTCGTGTGTCTTTCATAAAATCCTTACCGCTTCACTCCCATCACAAATACTATAAATTCAGTATGTGAGGCAAGGTGAAGTCCACATTTACCTAATTATCGCAAACAATGATGACGGCGAATGAAGTTAATGTGTAGCGCAGAGGCGACCGTTATAGTCTGAGGGCCGGGCTAAGATGTCGCAACCAGCGGAGCCGGGGAATTACTTGACACATAATGCTGGTAGCAATTTCGGCTGGCAGGTCAGGAATTGGTGATGTGGGAAAGGCTGAGAGGACTAAAGGTTATCGAGCTCAGATTTTACCGTATACCGCAAGAAATGACGAATCATAAAAAGAAAAAACGCAATTAATATTAATTCATTGCTCACTGTGGTAATAAATAAAAAGAGTAACCAAAAACTGAGCAGCAAACTGACGAAATGAGGTCAAATAAACGCAACAAAGGGCACTCTCCGCGAAGCCCCAAGCTTCTACTATTCCCGCGTCACCAAACTCCTCTTTTCAGCGCCCCTCACCAGATGATCGAGTCCCGTCACGAGATCCTCAGGTGATTGTTGGCTCCGATCTGATGCTCCTGTAGACGGTACGCCAGCCGGTCCAGGTCCGGGAAGTCTCGGTTCAGATCCACACGGTTGGCGTTGGCCCGACCGGTCACATAGCCGCGGTGCTCCTGGAGAAAGACATCGTGTTCGTGAATAGGGGATTGTGGAATGATGCAAGGAAATATGTGGAAAGTGGAAAAGCGTGTTTGCGTAGGGTATTTCCTTTTTCCAGATATTCCGATGGGGAATCTGCAATAACAAGAATACTCGTCAAAGTATCGAAATCAATGCATCCCGGCGAATCAATAAGGGATAACTCATAAACAGCGTAATAAAAAACTTTTTACGGACATTACAATTACGCTACACTCAGCGTTATTAGACACAATTAAACTAACTGATATAAAAGAGGCTCGTATATTGCCCAAACTGACAATTCTCGACGGCCTCAGCTGCAAACATCTCATAACTGTAAAAATCAATGTCCATCCTACAACATAGCATGCAGTTACTCGGCCACTTCTTGTGAGAGCAAGAGTCAATGCCTCACATAAGTTCACATCACATAAACTTTTCAACTGAAAGAGCAAGCCTTCTAAGTCAGTAAACTTTTCAAAACTTTGTTCAGGAGCAGCCCAGCAACCACTAGAACTTTCTGTTCTCTCTTGAGACGAGAGCACTTGACTTTGAACAAGTCGCCACGGAGTCGTATGGCACAGCGACCGTGGTTTTGTGATACTAAAGAACCGGATACTGAGAACCTTAAAAGCACGCTGAGCGAAATTTGAACAAACCCATGGTCTATAGAGCCTGATACTGAAAAGACTGTCTTTTGCTAATTCTTAAACCAATGACAGCTTGTTTCTGGGATCACTTAGGCCCATATCACTTAACACTTAGGCACATTTATCACTTGGATGGATCACTATCCAATCACTTAAAATCCTTATTAGATCACTTAGATCAGATCACTCAGGCACACTAGAAATCCAATAGAGGGACCTAAAGCATGCATTAAACCCTTATAGTACTGCTGCCAGGACTGCTGAAGACTTGCGCAGCTGAAGGGCTCGGAACTCTTCTTACCGATATCTATTAGCAGTGGGCACCCAAAACCTGTCCAATGTCCCTTTGAGACTCCGTGGGCCTCGTGACTGAGCTTACCGATCTGGTTGCGATGTCCCATCCGTCTGGGTTCATGGTCGGCATCAGATGGATACGAGTTCTGGCTAGTAGACGAATGACCTGAGGGAGAGAGAGAGAGAGAGAGAGAGAGAGAGAGAGAGAGAGAGAGAGAGAGAGAGAGAGAGAGAGAGAAGAGAGAGAGAGAGAGTCAGTAGAGGTTACCAAAACTCCGAGACATGTGACATTCTAACTAATGAATACGGGTCTGACTGTGGCCATCTTATCATTAATTTATTTTTACGTCTGAGGTAAGCAGCTGCAGGACATTATGAGAAAACTCCCTAAAAACTATTGGCCCTGGTGCCGCTTTTGGAACACTGTCGTTTTATTAGACGGAAACAATGTGAAACTCGCACAATATTACTGGCATAAGATTGGGCAATTCTTCGCCGCTAAATATGTCTCTTTGGGGAATGAATACCAAGCACTGGTATGAAAGATTATCATACCTACGCAACACAATATCATACACTGTTGTTGCGTCGTTACACTGGTCCAAGAAGCTCATCAAGTGTCCCCCCCCCCTCCCCCTCCCCTCCGTACTCAAATGTCACCACTCGCGTTCAAACGCGCCTGCCGCCGGTGAGACACTGTGCGTCGATTTTGCAACCATAGGACCGCAGCTGCCTCATGGTCGCCCTTATCGGGTCATTATTTTCGGTCACCCTCATCGAACCCAGCGATACACACAACTGTCATGGCAACGAAGGACTGGTTCGTGACAAAATAGAGACGGTATTATTGGTAATTACTGTTTGGAAGCAGAATGTACCGTGCCTTTTCGGTTATACCTCCCGGTGTGTTCTATCACTGGCTACATCGCTTTCATTTAATCAACCTAATTTTGAACTAACTTAATTGAGTGTAGCCTTTGAGAGAGTTAAGGAATATAGATATAGAAGTAGGCACTGGGCAGTTCTCAGATAGCTACGCGTCTTTCGTTTTTTTTTTTTCGGCTAGATGCTGAATGGCTGAAGGAAACTAAGTGTAATCTGCCATATCCCTCGGCCAGCAAAGATAATGATCATGAAATAAGAGCCGGCGCAAATTACGGCTTCTAGGATTACGTCAAATTACCAACGGGTCGGCGTTAGTGTACCCCTGACGTCATTGGATCTATTTCCACCCTGTCTGTGGTCAAAAGACAGTCTATCGAACGAGATGGCGACTCCAGCGCCCCTTAGGCCGTGAGGAAGAGATCAACGCAACGTAAATGAACCAAACGCTTCGGACCAAGCGCAAGGCCACACGTCCTAAACCATCAAAATCAACAGAGGAGTTATTATTACCGATACGCGACTGCAAGCACCGATTTTCATTTTCTACGGTAGCCGCCCTAAGAGTCCCCGTCAAGGCTCTGGTTCTCCCGGTGTTTACCTCGGGGTTATCCTTGCGATATTCCTCGCAGAGATAGTCGGCTAGTTTGAGCAGCAGCTCACGGCCCAGCACCTCGTTACCGTGCATGTTGGCGATGTACCGAAACTCCGGAACCACTGCGAATAAAATACAGAATGTCATACAGCGTGTTTGTAATGGAAAGAGGGCAGATGTGACTATCATATTACTTCAACAATTCAGCATACGATTAGATTACGAAGCAAATGCGTCTAACGCATTCTTCATAAAGCGACCCGGGGCTGCACAGAGGCCGATGAAGATGATGATTAGAAATATTTGGTTCCGTGCACTGTCGAAATGAGCGGACTCGAAGACGCATGCGATAAGAAAGTTATTTCATTGAAGTACTCTCAATAACCAACGCACGGGAGAGCGTACGAAAACACGAGCTTCATAACAACGCTTGGCGAAAAAAGCAAGCTTTAAGAAGACAAAATATTTACATTTTAAACATTTAAAATTCTGAATGTTAGCCATAAAAGAAAGGCAACAAAAATAAATATACCTTGGATTGAACTTTGATTGGTTCTCGTCATGAAAATAAAAGGCTCTGAATGGACATAAAGCGAAGCGTAAAACTTTCTAGAAATCGACGACAATGCTCTAAACTCACAACCGTTTTCTGGGCTCGCTACTCACGGGGTGTATGCTTGGACGGCTGTTTTCCAAGGACGATGACCGCCAGCGGCACGCCTCGAACTGACGTCTCCGACAGCTCGTACACATCGAGATGTCCGGACATCGCGAGTGCACGTCCTCCAGGATCTCCAGCAGTTCGGTGTTGTCGTGGTGCCGGAAGACGAACGTCTCGCCGGGCTGACGGCGGCGGCGGCGATGGCGGCCAGCGCGGTGACGACGCGGACTGAGCCATCGCGCCGCCCGTCCACCGGCGGCTGCAAACTGGACCGTATGGCGCGCGGACGGCCGTCGCCGCCGCCGCCGCCGACGCGTCGTTTCTGTCGCGCATCGGCTGTGACGTCACAAATCAATGCCGTTGCCATGGTAACGCCTGGAGAGGCCACCCACGCACCGGTAAGGCCAGGGTGGTTTTGTTTGAACGAGGCAGGGCTCAGGGTCAGGTCCGTCGGCAACAGTATCGCTCGCAACACCGGCCGTTCCATGCTCGTCCCTGGCTCGTCCTGTGCAGGCGGCGCGGCCCCCACTGACGTCACGTGGCGATGACAATGAGTTTACACGGGGTGGTTTGGGTATCCTATATCACATCCCTCGCCAAACATGCGTGAGGCAATAATCGCCCCAGTGGGGAATCACTTGCATGCAAAGGGAGACAGCCGAGATCATCAGAGAGAAAACAGAGGGGAAATGCATGACACGAAATACGACTCAGGTATGGTGTTGATAGCTTACCTAGGCGTTATGTCGGCTCACCGCGAGTGGACGAATATGGCACGGGTATTCAGCAACTAAAAATTACTTACCACCGAGTTTAAAATGAGTTGCATTGTCCAGGTCCTCGTTCTATAACAATACCATTCACGGGTATATAACTTCGAACAAAAAATGTCTAACATTACAATAAACATGCCTCTCGCCTCTCGGTTATAGCCAAGAAATCTTTAACCGTTCCAAAATGAAATCAACCAACAGTAATTCCCAATAGAATAGGTGTATGGGACGTTCACAAACAAAGCAAAGAGTCTACTACACCTTTTATAAAGTCACGAGGTACGAGAACCCAAAGATTGATGGTACGCATGCATTCATTCGCAATTTCCTGAGTCATTAACGTCAGGAAGTCAATTCATTACGGGGTCATCAATATAAAGTTTGGCATTAGATCATTCTCATAATCATTATTCATTACCCTTTAGCGTTCCTACCAAGCACACAGCGCAAGGGTAGCAAGATGCAGCCTCGAATGACTCCTCGCTCCAAAAGCGCAACGAAGCGCAACGAAGTCCAAGCATTTTCGATGGGTACGGGAAACAACGAATTAGCATCTGATAGACCCTTCTCTGCTAATTTGTTGTTTTGAAATGAATGAGAGAATGAGAACAGCTCAGCAGCTAGGTCAGAGCCCTTCATTTATGTATTTATTTATTTATTTATATATCTATTCATCGCAAAATATTTCCCTTCTGTATCTTGGCTGCATATGGCGTGGTTGAGTCATGCGCTGGTTGAGCGCCGAGTTACACACAAAGCGGCGTTGAAGTCGCCATGGTAAGCCAGTCTGTCCCGCCGAACAGGGGCGCACCGCGGCACAGTCTACCTTTCAGGCGTTCACTTTCGGCTGAAGGCACCGCTGCATTGCAAGGATTGCGGGGCCGGGGACGAGAGTCAAGTTTTATGAAAAAAGGCAACGTAAAATTGGCCAAGACCAACTTCGATGTGTCATCTCATTTCTTTTAGTTACAGAACACGGATAGCAGGGCAGAAGAGAGAGCGGCCGCCGCTCAGATGCGATATCCGAGTCACATTCGTGCAAAGTGTTGATTTTCTAATAATTTGTTTCCATTTTACGCTTGATCTACACAACTAAAAGGCGCTTACGACATAAGTGCGAAGTGTTACTCAATCAGGCAGGATGGTCATCAAAATAATCTTAATATCAACTAAACGAAACGAGCAACGAAATTACGCATTCGGTGCTTATTTCCATCTTACATAACACCAAAGTTACCTCTCCTTAAGCTTCCTCTGATTTAATTACACCCGAAGCATTCATCTCTCATTAGTCATTGATTGGGTTAATCGAAACCACATTTCCTGAAAGAACGCCATACGCTACTAAGAAATCGTTAATTGCATCAACAGAAACCTCGTTTTTTCCATCATCAACGAAAAGGCAACCTTGCATGGGTCGCAAATGTGATCAGTGACCTTTAAAAAGACGATATATCAGAGCATTGGAAATGCCACCCAAACCGACATAACACCAGGAAATACATTGAATTACCGCTTGCTCGGATCGCACGAAGGGCGGACGTTTATGAAAAAGTGCTAGACCTAGGAAATGGATACGTCGCCCCACACCAATCTCTTCAGCCTACATAACCGCAGGTTGTTTGAAAAGACAAACACTGTTCGTTAGAATTGTGTTTTTCTATTGAAAAACAACCGGAGCAGTCGTTCACCGGGCTATGTTTTCCATACTTGGCAGCGAATCAGTACAACTTGATACCAGCCAAAACTACTGCAACGATTTTCGTAAAAATCTCAGGGTATAGACTTTCGAAGATGATCTAGCTGATGGCATCGGTCACTGCTCGCTCAGAATTCTTTTGCGCGTGGCGCGAGCGTTTGAATTTTCGCCCATGTAAAGTCAATAGGGGCTTGGGACACTTTTTGCGCGATAGCGAATGGCGGAAAAACGAGTCAAGGAAGGGTTGGTTTACTTCCCAGCATTTTATGGCAAACACGTTCCGGTACACGCCCGTGTGCGCCGTATACGCGCCAGAATCTCGGATCACCTCTTTGCACAAGGTCAAAGTTGGAATTTTGCTGTGTCCCATGTTAACCCCGCCCTGGTGGGGGCCATTTTGGCCCCCCTGTGGTTTTCTTTAATAGCGAGAAAACGGCGGCGCGCAGCGCCGCCAAATTTTGGGTTCCTTACCGATCATCAATTTGACACCTTCACACAAAATTTCAAGTCACAGGTCACCTCAGGTCAGGAGTTATTGAGGTCAAACTGAGGTCATGCTCGAGTAAAAATGAGCAAAAAACATGACATCTTGAAACGCTCACCAATTCTACATTTAACAAGCAATTTTAAAGTTCTTTATGTGGTTGTGTAGAGAAAATACGGCGCTACAAAACTGCGATCTCGTATTTTCGAAATTTTGGGATTTGGCCCCCAAAAATAAAAAATAAAAACTCAAAAAATTTCCTTTTTTTCGAATTTCGAAAAACCGTAATGTTAGTGATAGTCCCTGCGCTCTTCGATATACATACGAAATTTTAGATCGATAGCTCTTTTTTTGGCCAAGTTATAGCGAAAAAACTGTTAAAAATTGATGACGTCAAAATTTTGAACTCAATTTTTAGCAATTCTAGACCTCGTAGCGCAAAACGGAGACCACCGTTGAACGCCCCGTGACGAGCTGCATCGAATCGATACCCATTTTATGCAAAAATATCAACTTTGAAATTTGACCTAATTTGACCTGACCTTGACCTGACCTTGACCTGACCTTGACCTGACCTTGACCTGACCTTGACCTGACCCTTGACCTGACCTTGACCTGACCTTGACCAAAACGTGACCTAAGCTGGCCCAAAAGTCTGCCTGACCCACATTATCGCATTTGTCATGTAAAATGGACCATAAAACATGTATCACACGACACTTTCATATTGCGACCCCCCCAGTGACCTGACCTCTGTGACCTGACCTGGTATCAGTGACCTCAAATAGCAAAATATGTGTTTGAAGAACATTTCCCCATCGATGATTTTCAATGAAATGCATTTAACTCGATTTTACAACGCATTTCTTGAAATGCCTTTAAACGATGAAAATTCGACCTTTGACCTGACCTGTGACGTCATCGGTTTGACCGAGGTCAATGAAATTGGGTCACAAGGTAGTTCCCCGTTGGGGCTATCCAACGCCGTTTACCGCTTGTCGCTATGTTGCGTGGTTCTCGAGATCTTAGGGGGGGGGGGCAAAATGCCCCCCATCAGACCGCGTTTAAACCTGGTATTTGACCTGACCTGTGACGGTGACCTGTGACGGGTGACGCCCGTTCCCTGAACGCGGCGTCACCCGGCAGCCGCGCGTTTCGGCCGGCCATGCAACCCACCAAATAAGGCTGACCCGAGCGACACGAGGCGGCGCGCGGCGCAGAAGGGAGGGGCGCTCACACAGCTGGGAGGGACCGGGACGGTCCACTGACCTGACTCGCGCCCTCCGTCAGCGCCGGCAGTGCCGTCACCAGCGCGTTGCTGTCGTCACCGTCATCACCCCCACTGAAAACAATTTAACCTAAGGCCGGCGAGTAAACCGGTGTTTCACGGGTACGCCTATCCGCAACCATTTTTAACCACCCTCCCAAGAGTAGGGCTAGGTCCCATTGCGGTGTACCTAGTCGTACTTGCTCTGAGGGGATATAACCGCTGTCAGCGAACATGTCCGCTGAGAGCAGGGACGACTACACTGCAATCGGACCTTACTGTACTCTTGGGAGGGTGGTTAAAAATGGTTGCGGATAGGGGTACCCGCGAAACACCGGTTTACTCGCCGGCCTTGGGTTAAATTGTTTTCAGTGCGTGCTGTCATCACCGCTCCGTCATGCGTCATCTCCCTGTCATCGCGGTGCGTCAACGCCGCCGCAGTCTGTGACCGGCGCTCGTGAGCCCACCTCAGACACCTCCCTCGCCTACACTCAGCGCTTTAAAAAATGTGAAAACGGCCGTACTGTGTCTCAGGGTTCCACACTTCACTTTGCGAGCACGTATAACATAACGAGTCCACTTCAATGCGTACCAAAATACTCTATATAGTTGCTCGCTTTCTATCTTTTTTCTACTTTATCTCTGTCGACTATCACCCTCTCCTTATAAGAGTTTCGTGCGCGAGACGTTTCACGATGATGTTAACCCGCGCCGGGCCGGTGCTCTAAGATTCCGCGCCGGGCCGGGGGGGGGGGTTTGAACACCCCCTTCTAACTCGGCTCCTGGGCCACGTAGCGACACGCGGTAAGCGGCAATCGAAAGAACGTCCAAAATAAGGACGAAAACACTTCGGTCATTTTTTGGGTCAGGTCAAAGGTCAGGTCACCAGAGGTCACCAAAGGTAAAACGTTGACTATTTCAACATTTTGGAAACTGCCAACGACTATCTCGGGAACCGATAGAGCTACAGCGCCGCGGAAAAGCGCATTCCATAGCCCTTTTACAGACCTTTCTGGGTAATGTTCTCAGATTTGACCTCAGGTCAACGGTTTAGCCTCCAGAGGGCAAAAACTCCAAAAATAGCCATTTTTACGAGAAGTGTTTTTTCGGCAATAACTTTTGACTCAAAAGAGACATGTCATTACTTTTGCCAGCATCGTGTTCCTCTCGTCGAGACGCGTCGAATGAACTATAATTTGACCTTGAAAGGTCAACTTGAAAATTTGACCTCAGGTCAAGGTCATTACCTGACCGGAAAAGGTCATGTTGCATATCAGTCGATCCGCAACGTCGAGCCAAACACATCTAAGGCGTTTTCAGCGCTCTAGCACGTCTCTATCAGAAGTTATTAGCGAAAAACTGTTAGATTCTGTTCGTGACCTGAGATGACCTCGGGGACATAACGAGGGGTCACAGTTGCCATTTTCCGATTCAGTTTGTCAATTTTACCTACATCTCGATGTTTGAGAGTGTCTAGAATAGCGTTCGTGCAAAACAGACGCTTTTCAATTTTCTCCCATTGACTTATAATGGAGAGGTCGCAAAATTGACCTGACCTTAGGTCACCGATATCGAAATTCCGAGAGATACATTTTATAGATACTGTTGCTCTAATGAATCGCTGAAAGTTTCAAGGCAATCGATCAATCGGTGTAGCTAAGAGAGCATTCTTATCTTTTCTGAGGTGAGGTCACTTGGCGTGACCTGGTGACCTGACCTAAGGCGACCTGGGTCTGAAATTTTTTGACAACATGTGCGGAAAAGATGCACGAACAGGTGTGCCAAAAACGGCGGCGCTCCGCGCCGCCGTTTTTGAGATATCTGCGAAAAACCGCAGGGGGGGTGTTCAAACACCCCCCCGGCCCGGCGCGGGTTAAGAATAAAGCAGGAAGATGATGTCTGAAAGTAATTATTTAATTGTGCATTTTTGTCACATGAAAATATGTCTGCTGATATGCAGCACACACCCATTGTTGTGTTGAACTTATTAGCTTTTAGTAAAACGTGCTTCCTGGAGTGAAAAAACTTGCACATTTTTTTGTGAGAGAGATGTTAACCCTCGCCCGCACATGGGGGGGGGGGGTTGCCACCCCCCAGGTATAGTTTTTTCTGCTCTGCACTCAACATTCTTAGAGCTAGAAGGCTGATTTTTCGCATAGCTGCTCCTCTATCCTTTCTTGATGTTCACTGAAAGTTTCAAGTTCCTGTGGTTTTTGGTTTCGGAGATATGACCTTGTTTTTCAGGTCATGTCATGACCCAAATGACCAATTCTCAACATCTTGCGTTGGCTATGGGCCTTGTGAGCTTTTGACACCTTGATTTCGGCCTTTTTTGCCATTCTTACCTCCCACCTATCGTGGGACATGTTGTTCGACGATGTACAGATGTCAAGGTCAGGGTCAAGGTCAACCTAGGTCATCCAAAATAATTGCGTTTTAGGCAATCTGAATTTACTTTTCGTGATGTTTTTTGACTGCATTTTTGGTAAAAGCTTCTCAGATCATGATTTCATGTACCTAATATGGACACATAAACAATCGGTGCACACATTATACACACAGACACACACAGACATATAAACACATATCATTGACCTTGACCTAACTTGACCTGAAATGACATCAGCAGCAAAAAACTGGTCGGGTAGTGTGACAAAGAGGTTCTAGCTGGCTTGGCACCAGAAAACGGCATCGTCATCGGTATATGTTAAGCAGCGCACTTGATATCCAGCGGTGACCCAAAACAGCAACATTTTTTTAGTTTGACCTGACCTGGAAGGTCAATGACTGACCTGAGAAGGTAAAACTGGGTATCATTGGATTTGTCTCTTCCCAAAGAATCTTTTTTATCGTTACCGCGAAGCTCTATCTCCAACAGGAACGAAATGGCGCAGGGGGGCAACCCCCCCCCCCCCATGTGCGTTCTAGGATGGGAAAATGGCATGTGCGGGCGAGGGTTAATTGAAACAGATATTAAAGTTCTTTGTAAAAGTACTGCGTTCAGGGGTATCGGCGAGCATGCATGTTGAGTGATGCGTACTTGCTGGACAGACGAGGCGCGAAATGTATTCCAACATCGAACAGCTCTCCGCCTCGCTGACAATTTGGTACTGCCCCGATAGCCATCACACGTCGTTGAACATCGAAACTTGAAACCGCACTGAAGTGTTCTAGGCATGTTCCTCAACTCGCCACCCGATGCTCCCGGATCTGGGCTTTAAAGAGATCCTATAGTGGTCCTGGTGTCTTCTAAAAACATTTCGTACTTTCTGCCTCAACTCCGTCAAGCGATGCTGTGCGTGATCGCCGGAGTGAAACAATGTGATTCTACCGTACTGTTTTAGCAAATAAATTTTATTTTTTGATTCTTAAATTGCCCTTAACAAATGTTAACCACACAGGTCCCAGTAAGAAAACTGTGCAAGCTTAAAAAATTATTCCATCGGTTCTCAAGTTATAAGCATAGGTCATAAATGACCCAACCGGCATTAGAATAGTCACAAATAAGGAGTTATCACGAAAGCCGATTTAGCTCGATACCTTATTGTGTATACTGTATACCGGTCTCAGCCAAACAATGTTAACCCGCGCGGGGCTGGGGGGGGGTAAATTTTACCCCCCCTCACGAATTTTTGCAATATCTCAAAAACGGCGGCGCGCAGCGCCGCCAAACTTTCAGTACCTTTTCTCACATCAATTTGACACGTTCCCTGAAAATTTGAGCGAAATCCGTCGGAAAATTTTTGAGAAATTGACGTTTTAGTGACGTCATGTTCGTCATTTTCGCCTCAAAAACGGCAAAAGTTCAAACGCCGCTAACATCTTCATTTTTAAAGGAATCAAGACGTAACAAAAAAGGTTATACGTAATGTTACTTTGTCTATCAAATGGCTATCTCGGTTTTTTGAAAATTTTGGATTTTGGCCTAATTTTTTTTCAAAAAACTGACTTTTTTGGGAAAATCATTATAAAATCCAAAATTTTGAGTCTATCAAAAAAAAAAAACGGAATATATGTCAGAGAAGTGGTCTATGTGCACCTACATACCAAATTTTAGAAGAATCGGTTCAAAAATGTGGGAGTTATTCAAAATTTTATGACGTCACGACACACAAATTTTTTGAAAAATGACTTTTTTGGAAGTTCTAGACCTCGTACGGAAACAAAAACAGCACCATTCGATTCGCCGTGAAAAACTGCATCAGATAGACACCTTTTTAGGCCTTAACAACCAACTTCAAAATTTGACCTCACTTGACCTGACCTTGACCTGACCTCGACCTGAAATTCATCCAGAGGTGGTCCATATCACTTATTGAGTGTGCCTATTGAATTCTATGAGTAAAATGACCCATAAAACATGTGTCGCACATGCCCTTTTCTATATTTTGTTTTTTGGTGACCTGACCTGACCTGACCTGACCTGACCTTGACCTTGACCTCTGAATGATATTGTATGCAACGAATATTGTCTTGGTAGCCTAAGAACACGTTTTGGGCGATCAGTCTCAGTCCATGACTCCATTCTTCGGCAACTACGGTGCAAGGCCGATACTGTAGAAACTTGCAATTTGTACCCTTGACCTGACCTTGACCTTGACCTCAAACTTTAAATTAAGTACATGTTTTTAGTAGTTCGTGATGAGAGCTTTCGATTGGCGTTTGAATTTTCCAAATCGGACCGTTAGTTCGGGAGATAACAGGGGGGGGGTAAAATTTACCCCCCCCCCCAGCCCCGCGCGTTCGGCTGGAGACCCCAGCCCCGCGCGGGTTAAGAGGCACTGCATTGCAATGCTTTGCAACGTCAAATTGGCGGGGCCGTTGATGCCAGTGGCAGGCCTGTGGTGCCCCTGACACTGTCAGGGACACCATAGGCCTGAGAGGCCTGTGGTGTCCCTGGGCCCTGACAAGCCTGAGGTGCCCCTGACATGCTTGTGGAGCCCCTGACAGGTCTGTGGTGCCATTGCTAGGTTTGTGGTGCCCCTGGCAGGCCTGTGGAGCCCCTGGCGGGCCTGTGGTGCTCCTGCTAGGCTGCTGGTGCCCCTGGGTCCTGGCAGGACTGTGGTACCCCTGACAAGCCCGAAGTGCTCCCGACAGGCCCGTGGAGCCCTTACAGGCCCAAGGTGCCCGTACGAGGCTGGTGGTGCCCCTGTGAGGTCGATGGTGCCCCTGGCAGGTCTCTGGTGCCTCTGGCAGGTCTGTGGTGCCCCCTGGCAGACCTGCGGTGCTCTTGCTAAGTCGATGGTGCTCCTACAGGCCTGTGGTGCCCCTAACAAGCCTGTGGTACCCCTGAGAGGCCCGTGGTGCCCCTCGGCCGGCCGAGTCGCCGGCCCGCCCCGGCCCGCCCCGCACAGGCCCGAGTCGCCGCCGGCCCCGCACGACCGGTCGGCTCATGATATCCCAACATCGCAGCACTCGGCCTGTGGTGCCCCTGTCAGGCCTGTGGTGCCCCTGATAGGTCGGTGGTGCCCCCGGGCCCCAAGGGAGGTCATGAGTGACCCATATGACCCCCCTCCTTTGTATCCGCCACTGGGATCTGATCACAACCCCCAGAAATAAGTAATCGTATAATCATCAGTTGCTTCCCTTGTATTCAACATACAAGAAAATTTACAACACTTTTGCCGGCTGGGTCATTTATGACCCAATGATATTTATCGAGGAAAAAAAGTTATCCGATGGCGACAAGAAGGGCAAAATATACATCATGCCTTTTTCAGACAAACTCAAATGCCAGGTGGACGATCATTCAACAGATAGTAAGGTGCAAACATAATATAATATTACTTTTTGGGGCGGCGTGCCATTGCCAGTGACCGGCGACTGTGCAGTCCCGTCGTCTTTGGCTCCAGAAACTTCAGTGGACGAGCTCACACAAGTTTTATGCGGCTCCGACGCTCGCCACTGAACCCACAAATCCAACAAAACACACGCACAAGTTCCTCAAAGTGCCACTTGCCTCCATTGAGAAAAATCGTTAAGGTTTTGCTTTTGGGTCATATATGACCCAAGCGGCATTATTAATGGGAATCGAAGCGACGGTTGGCGGAGACAAACAACAATAAGCAATTAACGAGAAGCAATGAACGAAACACACACATTACATTAGTGCGAACAGGAGAAAAATAATGTGTGTCTGCCCAAAGTCGGTACACACGGCGCGGCTAATTCGGCGCAAATCGAGCGTCAGTGATTACACAAACACACCCACACTCCAGCGGTGCGTATTTACACAGTGGCGAGAGCGGCAGCTTCCGGCTGCAGCCACAGCAGGTGACACGGCGAGGGGCGGCCGGTTGGCCCGGCCCCACTCCCGTCTAATACCCATTGAGCTGGGGCCACTCGACCCACGCGTCCTCCCACTCGCCTGTCACCCGCTCGCTGCAGGTCGCCGCCACCCGAGCGGTCAGTTACTTTCTGAGAAGGTCGTACCCCGGCCTCCCTCCCTCCCTCCCCGTTCTCCGTCGGAGTGGCAGCGGCCGGCGGGCGACGGGTCCTCCCAAATTTGTCACCAGGCCGCCGAGGCGTCAGAGCGCGGCCGGGGGTAGAGCCGCACGCGGCCGTACCGGGCGCCGCTCAGACTCTGCGGCTCGGGCGGCGCCGCCGGCAGCTCGGGCCGCTCCAGCATGCGGACCAGGTCACGCAGGTTGTGGTCGGCCGGACGGCCGGCCGGCCGGCTCTGCACCAGCTCAGTGAGCGCCGGCGTGGCGAACTGACGCTGGTGCTCGCCCGGCCCGTTGACCACGGTGCCGAAGGTGGGCTGCGGCCGGTGGCGCGGCGCGCCGTACAGCGGGTTGTGGCGCAGCGTGTCGTGCACGCGGCCCAGCAGGTACGGCTCCTGGTAGCGGGGCACGGCGTTTGTGCGCACTGCGTTCCGGTGCTGTCGCTTGGAGAGCTTCCACATGGCTCTCAGCTGCTCGCAGCTGGGCTCGCGCGGCGCATACGAGTTGTACGGCACGAACTGGTTGCGCTCGCGCTGGCGTTTCTCGGGCGGCGGCTGCGACTGGTCGGTGTCGTGCTGGGTGCGCGCGGCCGACAGCAGGGTGGCCAGCAGCAGCAGCAGGGCGCTGAGAGGCAGGCGGAGCCCCATCACCGACGGTGGCTGGCCAGGGGCTAGGGGAGAGTGGGGTGGGTTGTATCAGTTTTTTACTCCGAGACCCATAACCTCGTAACTATCCGTGATAAACTCATTATTTCCATACTATCTCCTTCCTTGATTCTTCTGCTTTTTTGTGCAAAGTAACTTTTCCGCTACCTCTACCAGTTTTTCTTCTACGGTCTGCCGAATAGAACAATATTTTTGATACAACTTGCCCCATGGCTTGGGTGAATTGTATCACATGGTGGGGTAATTTGTATCACTATTTCACGTTTCAGGGAGTGTGCTTGCTACTGGTTTTGAACATAACAACAACATTAAATGGGGTTAATACAATGTATATGCTCAAAGGCTTCACTTTTATTAGACCAAACTTAGGTCAATCCGAACGAAACATCGAAACGAACGAAACATCAACAGACTAAACGCAAAAGTGGCCCGTTAAGAGCAAAGAAGCAAACACATTGTGCCGAAATGAACGAGTATTGACTAGCTACCTACAAACGCGAGCCAAGGCTTAGCTTTCGCGATCAAAAGCGACATACCCATACATACATACATACGTACATACATACATGTTACAACATACCCCACCCGGCTCTGATACAACATGTACCACGCCGCCATCTTGGGAAAAAACATCCTCGTGCTCAAAAACAGCGGACAGCTGGATAAATCCATTTTCACTCACGCAGCCTTAGAACCTACCCTCACCACCGCTACGGAGATCTTTCAAATTCGTGCACATCTAAATGCCCAAAACACACATTTTCTTGCAACTTACTTTTTTAGAATGACATTAAAAAACATAAAATCGGCTCTCACCTCGAGACGCGTCCATCCAGCCACACGACAGAACAGGGAAATATGGCGCCCGGAAAACCTCGTCGGCTGGTCGTGTCACGAGCGCCATCTATTGGATAAGTTTGGCACAATTCGCCCTGATACAACTTGGACATGATACAACTCTCCCCGCTCTCCCCTACCAGCAGCAGCGGCGACAGCGCTGGGCCGCCCCGCTGCTGGGCCCAGTGAATTGAAACGTTACACTTAAGCTGAAAGCACGGCGCAATCGTGTTCAAGTTCTCAGGATGAAGCTTAGCCACTGTGTGCGTTAAAGTGACCAAGCCACCTTAACCCTCACCGGCACAGGGGCCACCCCGGAAAGCCCCATAGCAGCCACACTTTACGACTTTCTAACAGGTCCCGATTTTCCCGGTTTTCGGGTCATTGACCTGACCTAGAGGTCACCCGATGACCTAGGACCTTAAAATTGGATATCATCGGCTTCCTCGTGACGGGCAT